CCCCCCCGTCGCGGAACCCAGATGCGGGTCAGCCCCGAGGAGCTCCCGGCCACCGGGTACTCTCCGCCAGCCGGGCCGCCAGCCCCGCGGGAGCTCGGCTCACCTGGGACTCTGTCCGCCGGGCCGGTCGACTCGCGCTTCGGCGCGGCCGGCGCCTCCACCGGGGAGCCCCTCCCCCCGAGCCAGCCGACTGAGGAGTCCCTGTTGCAGACTCTGAGCGACCGCCACGACGCGATTGTCACCTTGCGCATGCGTGACCGATGCAACAAGTATGCACACCCAGTTGCTTCTTCTTTTTATCTTTGTCTCCCCCTTGCCGCTCAGCCTTGCTGGAGCCAGGCTCTAACCTGCTGGCCCCTGTCCTTGCCTCCCCCCCCCCCCCCCCCCCCCCCCCCCCCCCCCCCCCCCCCCCCCCCCCCCCCCCCCCCCCCCCCCCCCCCCCCCCTGTGCGCCTTTGCTTCGGGGCCATCCGCAGCATCCGGTATTGCCAGGAATGCATGCAAGTGAAGCCGGACCGCACACACCATTGCTCCATTTGCAATATTTGCGTCCTACGCATGGGTACATGCTCCGTCTTCGCCAGGGGATATGCTCTCCTCCTCTTTTGTCTTTGCAAGATCCTTTCCTCTCTCTCTCACACACACACACACACGCACACAACATGATGGACAGACCACCACTGCTCCTTCCTCGGAGTGTGCATCGGTCTCGGCAACCACAAGGCCTTCGTCCTGCTGCTTCTCTATAGCAGCATCTTCGTGTGGACTTGTGGTCTGACCAGCTTCGCTTCGATCGTTCGAGCCGAGGTGCGCAGGCCTCCTGGCCTTTCTCCGCCCCCCCCCCTCCCGCTGCCCTCGACCCTGGCCTGCCCCTTGCACCCCGGCCTGCCCCTTGCACCCCGGCCTGCCCCTTGCACCCCGGCTTGCCCCTTGGTCCCTTTTCTGCCCACCTCTGCTGACCTCCTGGGGCGCCGACAGTTCCGCATGTCGGAAATCCACCTCTTCTGGATCGTGGCCTCGGCTCTGTCGCTCTGCTTCGGCTTCGTGACCGGCGGCTTTTGCGGCTTCCACATGTATCTGATTGCCCGCAACCGGACCACCTTCGACTTTTCCTACTTCTATCACATCTACAAGGAGCTCTATGACCAGTACAACATGGGCCCGCGTGGGAACTTCGCCCAAATTTTCGGCACCAACATTTGGCTGTGGCCGCTGCCGACACCGAGCCAGTGCGCCCGGACGCCTGTCTATCGCCCTTCCCCCGCTCCCTTCTTCTCGCCCCTGCCCCGCCATCGACAGCGGCGCCCCTCACCCGCCCCGACCGGGAGCACCTCCGCCTAACCCGAACTACCGCCACCGCCCCTCCTCCCCTCTCTCGGTCTTGGCCCGTCCCCCCTGTGGGCCAGCTCCACTGATGGAGTCAACTTCCCCATTCGCTCCATGTATCACCCCGGTCGGCGGAGTGGATCTAGTTGGTCAAATGCCCCGGATACGGTCAACTCGTCGATCTACGTCTCGGACAGCGGGATGGTTTGACGTGCGGGCCACAGGCGGAAGGGGGGGGGGGGGGGGGGGGGGGGGGGGTGGACCCCAGCCCCCCGCCCTCTTCCCAGCCCCCATACCATCTGTACACATGCGCGCAAACAAAGGGCCGCGCAAATACATTGCACACGTGCACAAGATGAACAGAAGGCGAGGGTCTATTTGCCGGCCAACGCGGTGAGCTGAACATCGATGCTGGCGATGGTGTCGGTGATGCGCTTGTGCTCGTTGTTGAACTCGTGTCGCCGGGCATCCAGCGCGGCCAGATCCTCCAGGAAGCGCTGGCGCATGACGGGATTCCGCTGACGCGACGCCAGCTGATACTTGGCATTGTACTCGGTGTTGAGGTTGGCCAGCATCTCGCGGATGGGCATGAGCTCGGCGATGAGCTGCATGCGGGCCTTCTCCAGCTTGGCTGTGACGCACGCACACACGCACAAACGCACGCACACACGCAAAAACGCACGCACACACGCACACACGCACGCACACACGCACACACGCACGCACACACGCACACACGCACAAACGCGCGCACACACACACACACACACGTGTACATGCACACGGCGCGGAGGGAACCGGAAATGGGGGCCGGGGACCGCGAGCGACAGCCGGGCCGGGGACGAATGCGAGGGACATGCGCAAGGAGGAAAGGGGCGGACAGGCGGGCGGTCAGTCAGGAGACCCGGTCCCCGAGCAGCAGGGCGAGCAAAGGGCGGACAGAGGGCCGTACATGATTCGGACTCCACCAGGGCCGGGCTGGGCAGGCCGCCGGTGTCGGAATCCGAGTCGGAGAAGTCCGACGAGGGAGGCGCCGCCGGCAGATCGCCCTCCACGGCCCCGGCCCCGGCCAGGGGACTGGGGCTGTGCCCATCGGCCGGGGTGCCAGGCCCGGGGGTGTGCTGCGACGTGACCACCGCCACGGTGATGGAGGGCGTCTGAAGGGGGGAGGCCGTGGCCGCCGGGCCGGGCGAAGCGCGCCCATCGGCCTCGGCACCGCCAGCCGGCGTGGAAATGGAGAACGAGCTGGCCGCCACGGCTGCCGGGCTGTCCGGGCCCCCACCGGGGGCACTCTTGCCGGTGCCGGGGATGGCCACGATGCCGGCTGTGGCCCCGGCCGCCAACGGCGAGGCCGCCGCCTCCGGCAGATCCCCCACCGGCAAGGCCAGATCCATGGGGACCTGCAGGGCATCGGTGGCCGGCATGTCCGGCAGCGGGGAAGCCGGGAAGGCCCCGGCCGCAAGATCCGCCGGGGCTGTGAGGATATCCGGGCTGGCGACCGCCGCGGCCGGCCCCAGGCCCGGCACCCCGACGCTGGGCAATGCCCGAGTGCCCACCGGCAAGGACTCCAGCGAGGGCAGCGTGTCGTCCGGCCCGGCGATCGAGAGGCTGGGCTCCGACCCGTCGGGGCCCAGCGGCGTGAGGACCGGCACCGAGGGCGACCTGGCCAGTGTCGAGGACGGCCGCATGGGCGTGGCAAAGGCCCCGGCCCCGGGCAGAGGCAAGGGGGGCGACTCCACCCCCAGGGGCTGGTCCAGGGCGTCGGCCACGGTCGCCATCCCCAGCGGGGCTCCCTCCGGGGTGGGGGTCTCCTCGCGGCGGACCGGAGACCCGGCCGGCCCGGCCTTCGGCTTCGGCGGCGGGTCCACCTGATAGGGGATGCTGAGGCGGATTTGCTTGCGCGGAGGCGCCGGCGGGGGAACTTCCAGCTGGGCCACCGGCAGGGCTGGATGCTGGCGCTTGTATTGGTTGAAGTCCCGCTCGGTCAGCAGGACCTCGTCCTCCTGTGGGGCGTCCGCATCCTGGGCGAAGGCTGTGCCCGGGGATGACGGGGAGCCGGCCGGAGGGAGGGCGGCGGGCAAAGGCACGAGATGCCGGGCGAACCGGCCGGCCGGCCAAGCCAATGGAATGGTGAGTCGAAGGGCGGAGCACTGGGCCGGGTGAACAGGCAAGAAGCAGCATAGGGCGCGGGGGGCCTGCCGCACGCACAGACGGTTCGGTAGACACTCTCATCGTCGAGGGCCAGCAGGCGCTGGACCTCGGCATCAACGTCGGTGATTTCCTGCCATCCAATCGAAAGGGTGTCAGTGGCAAGCGGGGACGGAGGGCGGCGCCGGACGGAGGGCGGGGCGACCACATGGCGGGCGGCGAGCGCCGACAAAGGGCGAAACAGGGGGGGGGGGGGGGGGGGGACGCACCCGTGGTGGGAAGTCCGAGAGCCGGCGCTCGCGGATGTAGCGCAGCGGCGGCGCCAGGCCGTGTGGCCACAAAAACGAGTCGATGACCGTGTCATCGGGCGGGGCGCGCACGGCCAGCTGGCGCTTGCTCGGCTTGGCCACCTTGCGCGAGGGCTTGCCCTCGGTGCCGGTCCCGGCGGGGTCGGCCGCGCCGGCCGCACCGGCAGCCGGATCGTCAGGCTGCACGGCCAGCAGGCCCGGGTCCAGGATGGGATCCATGCCGAGGGCCACCCGGTAGGCGCGCAGCGGCTCGTCCAGCTCCTCGGCCACCAGCATCTGGGAAATGTCGCCGACCTTGTAGAACTGCCGCTGGTCCAGGGACCGGTGCGACTCGATGATGCACGGCAAGTCCACCAGCCGGGCGGACACATTGCGCGTGGGGGTCTGGATGGTGGCAAACCGACGGCCCCCCTTGCCATCTGGCCACGGGGGTAGGGGCGGGGGGGGAGTTGAGGGGATTGTGTAAGGGGCGTCTCCTCCATAAGATGGAGGACCGACTGGCGAAGGAAAGAGAGGGGGAGGGGGGGGGGCAAGGGGGCCGGTCGTACCCTGGAACTGGATGCCATAGCCGTTGAGTTCGTGGCGGCTGAGGGACTCGCGCAGGGGCCCGGCCAGGTCCTCCGGCAGCCGGAGAAGGAAATGCGACTCCAAATGCACGCTGTCATCTTCGGTGGTCCGACGCTTGTCTTTTTTCTCCTTGCGGCGGCGCTCGCGATCCGTCCCACCACCGGTGCCGGTCCCCGGGGCGCTGGTGCCGCCGCTGGCCGAGGCAGCCCGATCGCGCTTGCGTTTGTCCTTTTCCTTGCGATCGCGCTTGCCACTGCTGCCGCCACTGCCGCCGGGGGTCGGACTCCCGGCGGCCCCGGGCAAGCCCAGGACCATGGGATTGTTCGGGAGGAGCCCCGGCGAGGTGGGGACCAGCGGTGTGCCCGGGGTGGTGACTGCTGCCGCCGCCGCCGCCGCCGCCGCTGCCGCCGCCGCTGCCGCCGCCGCCGCTGCCTCGTCTGGTGTCCCGGTGCGCAGGACCAGCTTCGAGGCTTTGGAGGCGGACTTCTTCTTGGAGGAGGTCTTCTTGCCGGTGTGCCCGGTGGAGGATGTTCGCGGGGCGGTCACCGGCGCCTGCTTTTAGGCCATGCCAGTCAGAAGGGGAGGGCGGAAGCGACAGGGTCAGTGGGCACGCAGGACAGGGGACACAAAGCACAGCAGGGCATAGGCAGGGCATAGGCAGGCGCGCGAGGCGGAGCCAGGGGAGGCGAGGCTGGCACATACCGTCGGGGCGGTGATGCGGTCACCGCCGGCGCCCGTTTGGAGAGATATCGAGGGCCCGGTGCTGCCGGCGCCTCCGCCGGTCAGGGCCTTTAGCGACAGTTTCGGCAGGGCAGGCGAGGCGGCAGCGGTGACGCCCCCGGCCGGGGGACCTGCGCCGCCGGCACCTACTCCCGACAGGGACAGCGAGATGGATATGCTCGGCCGGCCGGACCCGGAGGCCGGCGGCTGGCTGGCGGGGTCCATCACAGGGCGTGGGATCGGATGGCGAGGACAAAGAACACGAGAGGCCAGGCAGACAGGGGGAGGGGGGGGGGGGCGGGGAGCGGGGGGCGGGAGAGAGACTGGAGGGAGTGGAAGGGGTTGCCAGGCGGCCTGAGCACGCACGGGGTGCAGAGCGGTGTGCCTTCGGTCCCTCCGCGCCTGGGCGTATTCCCCCCTCCCCGGCGATCTCCCTCGCAAGGAGGCAGGTGAGACAGGGCGAAGGCTTCCCCGGACCGGGGGCTAGTCGCAGTCAGATGGCACAACGGCCACGGCGGGGGGCGGGGGGGCGGGGGGCGGGGGCGCGGCTTGCTGAACGCGAGAGGGCGGGAAAACGAGCGCCGGCGCGCTGTGTGTCGGGTTGGCATGTGACCTTGATCAGGTGCCGCGCTCCCCGGGCCCCGAGGCCCTCGCACGGGGATGACCGCGACACAGAGGCGCGCGTGCGAGTCGTTGCCACGACAAAGATGGGCCGGATCTCGGTCCCCCTCGTCTCCCGTCCAACAGGCACATAAAGGACCCGAGCACACCAGACCCGTGCCCACGGCCGGCTACGCACATGCCTCTCCCTCGCTCCGCCCCCCGCCCCCCGCCCCCCCCTCTCCCCACGCCCATCCACACCCCCTGAACACACCATGAGCGCCCCCGCCCCGCGCACTGTCCTGATCACCGGCGCCTCGTCCGGCATTGGCCGGGCCACGGCCCTGCGCTTTGCGCGCGACGGCTGGCGTGTCATCGCCACCGGCCGCAATGCCGAGGCTCTGGCCGCCCTGGAGGCGGAGATGGCCGCCGTGGCCCCGCCGGCCGCCGCCGCCGCCGCCGCCGCCGCCGGATCCCTGTTCAAGACCATCACCTTCGATGTGGCGGATCAGCAGTCGGTCGAGGCGGCCCTGGCCCCGGCGGCCCTGGACCACTGGGACATTGATGTGCTGGTGAACAACGCCGGCCTGGCGCTGGGCCTTTCCAAGGCGCAGGATGCCCGCGTGGACCACTGGCAGACCATGGTCAACACCAACGTCAACGGCATGGTGCGCTGCTGCCTGGCCACTGCCCCGCCGCCACTGCCCCGCCGCCACCAGCACTGACGCATGGGTCCCCCCCGCCCCGCCCCGCCCCCCCCCCCCCCCCCCCCCGGCCCTCAGGACGCGGGTGGGGGCTTCCACCACGCTCTTTGAGCCCAAATGGCTCATGGGCCGACCTTCGGCCGAAAAGCCCGCGCACTGAATCCCCCTCGCCCTGGCTTTTCACACCTCGCCATCGTGCACCGGCACCCGCTTTCGCCCCGTCCCCGCGCGGGCCCCGGCTCGCCCGAGGGCCGGGGGCAGAGGGGATTTCCCCCCCCCTCCCCCGCCCCGCCCCGCCCCGCCCCCCCTGTATGTATGACGACCAGCTGTATGTCACGCATGCGCTGCTCCCGCGGATGGTGGCCCGGAATGCGCCCGGATCGCACATCATGTTTGTCTCCTCCATCGCCGGGCAGTGGCCCTACGTTGGTGGGAATGTCTACGGCGCCACCAAGGCCTTCGTCACGCAGTTTGCGCTGAACCTGCGCACGGACCTCCTCGGGACGGCGGTTCGCGTGACGAGCCTCGAGCCGGGCATGGTCGAGACCCCCTTCAGCAATGTGCGCTTCGAGTCGGACATGTCCAAGGGTACGCGCCTCGTGTGTAGCTGCGCTCGGCCCTCGAGCTGCCTCCTCCTCCGCGCCCCTAACACAGCAACCCCCCCCCCACACACACACACACAGTGTCCCAGGTGTATGACGGTGTGCAGTCGCTCACCGCGGAGGACTGCGCCGAGACGTACGTATCGCTGGGGCCGCCGGCTTCCCTTGCTGTGCCTGGAAATCTGACCCGCCCCGTCGGCCCCCGCCCCGAGCAGCATCCTGTGGGCCACCACCCAGCCGGCGCATGTGAACGTCAACCGCATCGAGATCATGCCGATCCAGCAGGCCTACGGCGGCCTGGCGGTGCACCGCGACTTCGAGAAGTACCCCTTCGGCAAGAAGGACTAGCGAATAGATGATGGAGGGCGGCCCCCCCCCCGGCTCGACCTGGCCCCGGCCCCGGCCCCACACGCGCCAAATACAACTGCCAATGCATTGGAACGCCCTTGCCCCGCGCCCGCATACACGCCGCAAGATAGGGGGGGGGGGGGGGGCATCTTCTGAGGGGGCGGCCCGAAGGGCGAAGGCGCTCGGTGTGCGCGCGCGCGCGCGCGAGTGTGTCAGGAGATTGCAGATGACGCCTACCGCTGTTGTTCCTTTTCCGCCCTCCCTCGCCCCTCCCCTCCCCTCCCCCCCCCCCCCTCGCCCCTCGCCCCGCATGGCTGGTGTCTTCGAGTGTGACTACTGCGACGGGCGCCCGCGGATCCAGGCTGCGCACCGGCGGGCGCATTTGGCGTCGGCCGCGCACCGGACCAGCCGGGCGCGCTTCTTCGAGCGTCAAGTCGGCGTGGGCGCCGGGCGCCTGCGGGCCGCACACTGGCGGACCGCCGTGTCCGATGCCTACCCAGCTGGCGGCTGGGTGCCAGCCGGCCGGGCGGATCTGCCGCCGGCGCCCGTGCCGAGGGAGCCCTCGACTGGCCGGCGGCAGGCCCAGCGCCGAGCCCGGCGTGCGCGGCGCGGCCCGGCCCCGGCCCCGGCCCGGCCCGACGAGGCCCACATGCCAGGTGGCCGGGGTGCGGGAGGGGCGGCCGCTGGCGGCGGTGCGCCCGCCCCCGAGCACGCGATCACCCGTCGGCAGACGGTCGCGCACCTGGCGATGGCCGTGCGCGAGGGCCTGCTCGTGGCCCCGGGGCTGGGGCTGCATGGCAGGGGGGATGTTGGGCCGCCGGTGGCGGTGGCCGCCGCGAGGATGGCCAGCCCGGGGGCGGCCCCCGGCCGCGGGTCCGCCACCACCGGGCCCGGAGAGGCGCGGTCCGATGCCACCGGGCCCGATGGCAGCACTGCCCGAAGCCAGGCCATTCCGGTGGCCGATGCCCCGGCTGTGCTCGCCGCCGGGCTGCTCTCGGTCCCGGGGGCCGGCGCGCGGGGGGGACGCCAGCGCGCCAGCTGGCCCCCGGGCGGCCCGGGGCGAGCAGACCCGCCGCCCGCCCGCCCGCCCGCCCGCCCGCCCCCGGGATAGACCCGAAGGCGAGGCCGCCCTCCCCTCCCCCGCCCTCTTCCTGGTGGAACTAGCCAAATACAGACCCCCAAGTCAGAACCCCAAGTCAGAACCCACCCCCCACACATACACACCCGGAAGCGGGGAACCCCGGGGGAGGGATGTCTCTTCTTGCTTTTGGGAGGGGGGGCGTGTGCGGCGCGCGGGCAGAGAAACAACCAGCCGGACACCCTCCCCTCTCCGGCCGGCCCAGCGGGAACGCCACCAGTCGCGGGAGGGAAGACATGTGCGTGCACAGCCGCCTGCCTGCCTGCCTGCCGCACGTGCCTCAGAGAATCGGAGTGGGGGGGGAAGGAGTCTGGCTGTGGCGAGACGGGGCGCCTGTGGCACTGCACCGGCGTGCGCGCGACCGCGGCCCGCACCACCAAACCATCACACAAACACCCCCCCCCTCTGGGCGCGCGTGCAAACCAGGACACCGTGCGAGCCCGACACACCGAGCCGCCCCCGCGCCTCCCCGGAAAGAACATTGTGGAAGGCCCGCCCCCCGCCCAGCCACCGCGCGCCGCGCCATGTAGTACGCCCACGAGAGAAAAACACTGAGAGAAGAGGATGAAGGACAGGATGATGCATAGCTGGGGGTTCTCAAGGTGTGTATTAAGAGAGCCAAAGAGGCACAAGCATGCGCGGGGGGGCACCCGCCCGCGCCAAAAAGGCTCGAAGATCCTAAGCCACCGCGAGAGAGGGAGAGAGCAAGGGGATCCCCTCACTCCTCCGCCAGGAAGGAGAGGGCGACCGTGGGGCCGACCGGGGGCAGGGCCAGCGGCCGCCGGGGCGCGCGCACGCGGGCTGTCCGCGAGCAGCGGCGGCCCGAGGCGGCCGACAAGAGGAGGCACCCGCCGCCGGGGCCGGCACCACAGCCGGAGTCCTTCGGCCAACGACCGGCGGCTCGCGCCGGCGCGCTGCCAAGCACACGAGGCGCTTAGAAGCACTTGCGGTGGACGATGGAGGGACCGGCCTCGTCGTACTCCTGCTTGGAGATCCACATCTGCTGGAAGGTGGAGAGGGAAGCAAGAATGGAGCCACCAATCCAGACGGAGTACTTGCGCTCGGGGGGGGCGACGATCTTGATGCGCATGGAAGAGGGAGCCAGCTGGGTGATCTCCTTCTGCATACGCTCGGCAATGCCGGGGTACATGGTGGTACCACCAGACATGACGACGTTGCCGTACAGATCCTTACGGATATCGACGTCACACTTCATGATGGAGTTGTAGGTGGCCTCATGGATACCAGCCTGCTCCATGCCCAGGAAAGAGGGCTGGAAGAGGGCCTCCGGGCAGCGGAAGCGCTCGTTGCCGATGGTGATGACCTGGCCATCAGGGAGCTCGTAGCTCTTCTCGATGGTGGAGGAAGAGGCAGCGGTCTGCATCTCGGCATCGAAGTCCAGGGCGACGTAGCACAGCTTCTCCTTGATGTCACGAACGATCTCACGCTCGGCGGTGGTGGTGAAGGAGTAGCCACGCTCGGTCAGGATCTTCATCAGGTAGTCGGTCAGATCGCGACCGGCCAGATCCAGACGAAGGATGGCGTGGGGCAGGGCGTAACCCTCGTAGATGGGGACGGTATGGGAGACACCATCACCGGAGTCCATGACGATACCGGTGGTACGGCCGGAAGCGTACAGGGACAGGACGGCCTGGATGGCAACGTAGAAGGCCGGGGAGTTGAAGGTCTCGAACATGATCTGGGTCATCTTCTCGCGGTTGGCCTTGGGGTTGAGGGGGGCCTCGGTGAGCAGGACGGGGTGCTCCTCGGGGGCAACACGCAGCTCGTTGTAGAAGGTGTGGTGCCAGATCTTCTCCATGTCGTCCCAGTTGGTCACGATACCGTGCTCAATCGGGTACTTCAGGGTGAGGATACCACGCTTGGACTGGGCCTCGTCACCGACGTAGGAGTCCTTCTGGCCCATGCCGACCATGACACCGACGTGGCGGGGGCGACCGACGATGGAAGGGAAGACGGCGCGGGGGGCGTCGTCACCGGCGAAGCCGGCCTTGCACATGCCGGAGCCGTTGTCGATGACAAGGGGAACAATATCGTCAGACATGGTGAATTAGGAGGAGGAGGGAGAAAAGAACTGAAGCCAACGGGAAGGGAGGTTTCAATCCGGTGAAGACAAGTGCTGTACGCTGGGCCGCCTGCCCGGGGCTTTATATACCCCCCCCCCGCTGCTCCGGCCGTGGCGGGGCACCGGCACCGGCCCGAGAGCACACGTCCCGGGCTTGCCCGGCCGCCGCCACCGCCGCCGCCGCCGCCGCCCCACACACGGCTACCCCCCCCCCGCCCGGCCGGCCGGCTGGCCGGCACCCAGTGGCCTCCCTAGCTGGCTGAGGCCGCGGCCGCCCCCCGCCGCGGAGTAGCACACCGGACTGACGAGACACGCCCCAACAAGCCGCACCCCGGCCTCCCCCGCCGCCCCCAGGGGACGGGGAGTGTGCCGCGGCCACCGCTGGGGGCAAGGCCGCCGCGCCCACAGCACAACACACCTCTCCTCCCTCCGCCCCCCGCCCCGGTAACCATCAGCCAGCCAGCCAGCCGGCCAGCCAGCCAGCCAGCCAGCCAGCCGGCTGGGGGAATGCACCGCCGGCGCGCCAGGTCCTCAATGGAATTCCAGCTAATATCGCCAGACACAGGATAAACAATAAACCCTCCCCCTTGGCCGCCCCCCGGCGGCGGGGCACGGGCACTGGCGCGCCGGCGCCTCGCCCGGCGGCGGCCATTGGCGGAGGCACGGAAAATCCCCTCCTCCCCCCGGTCTGGGGGCCCGCGCCGGGCAAGGGCCGCGCCGGCAGGAGGCCGGCCGCACGCCGCGCGCTTGGCCGACCCGGCGGTGGCGAGCGACCACCGCTCGCCCGCACCCGCCCGCGCCCGAGGCAGGCCCAAGGAATTTCGCGCGGCTGTGGCGACAGCGCCCAGCCCCGGGACCGTGTCGACGGCCGGCCGCGGCAGCCGCCGTGCTTCGCCCCCCACAGCGGCCGGGCACGCCGGCGCCGCGCGCTCTCCCGCCCCCCCGCCCCGGCGGACGCACAGCCCCTGGACGCCTCCCAGGTCTCCCGGCAACGGCCCCCCTCGGGTGCTGCCTCAAACCGCGCTCAGCCGGCCGGCCGCCCGAGAGAGGGGCCGAGACGCCCGGGGCCCGGCCCGGGCCGGGCGCCCGGCAGGAAGTCCGCGCACCCCCAGCCGGCGATGACGCCTGCGACGTCTTTGGACGCCGTAGGCGAACTTTGCCGCCCAGAGCCGGCGGGGCAGCCCACAGCGCACGCGCCTATTCGCACACCAAATGAGGCCGGCAGATGCACGCATTTGTCCCCCCCCCCCCCCCCGCCTGCGCCGGCGACGCCCCCCCCCCCCCCCCCCCCCCCCCCCCCCCCCCCCCCCCCCCCCCCCCCCCCGCGCCCCCCCCCCCCCCCCCCCCCCCCCCCCCCCCCCCCCCGGGCCCAGCCATGCCTGCTTTGTTGTCGCGCACACGCGCGCTCGTAGCCTGCCGCGCCCTGCCCCCAGCGGCCTGGGGTGGGCGCGGGGGGCGGGCGCGCCGGAGGGGGGAGGGGGCCGAGCAGCCCCCCGGCCGAGGAATGGGTGCGCATACCGCGCCGAGGCCCGCGCGCGCGCCTGCCCACATACTTGTCTAATGGCGGCATCGCATTCGGGGGCCCTCCACCCCCCTCACCCCCGGCTGACCGCGGCCTCCGGGGGGCGGAACGCCCTGCCCCGCCCCCGCCCCCCCCCCTCCCCCTGGTGCCCGCTGCGCCCCCTCCAGAGGCAAGACATGAGCGGCTGGCCAGCCAGCCAGCCCAGCGCTCGGCGTCGCGGCGTGCCACTCCCCCACCACCCCCCCCTGCCCGGCGGCGCCCGGCAACCGACCGAGGCGCCTCCTGCACGGAGGGCCCCCTCCCCCGAGGGCACCGCGATTCCCGCATCACGCTTAGGATCCGCTCGGGCCAGCACGCCGGCGGACGCTGATTGGTCAACGCGCGGAAAATAGCCCGCCCCCGGCCTCGTACACCCCCCGAGGGCCGCTTGCGCCCTCTCCCCCCCCCCCCCCCCGGCCGTCGTTGCCCCAGAGCATACTACTCGACCCGCCCGGCACGCCGGGGCGCCCGGTCCGCGGCCCCAGCTCCTGCCCGAGGGCGGCCCGGCGAGACTCCCCACACGCCCCGGGCATGGCCCCAACCCCATGAGCTGGAATGTGTCACCTGAGACCCAGCACCCCGCCCTCGCGCCCGCCGCCCCGGCGCCAGCGCCACACCCTCTCTCAGGGTCCCGACGCGCCGCCCCGCCCCACCCGGGACGCGGGACTCGGGCAAGCAACAGGGCCGCCGGGGCGCGCCGTCACCCCTCGCGCCGACACATCAACAGCTGCGCCCCCTGGGCCGCGCTCGCCCGCTCGTGGCCCCCCCCCCCCCCCCCCCCCCCCCCCCCCCCCCCCCCCCCCCCCCCCCCCCCCCCACCGCGCCCCCCCCCCCCCCCCCCCCCCCCGCCCCCCCCCCCCCCCCCGGGCCCCCCCCCCCCCCCTGCCTCGGTCCCGGGCCAGACGCCGGCCGGCCCGCCCTCGAAGGCGTTCGCCCGCATGTCCTCCGGCGCCCGAACACCTCTGTCAAGTGTGTCGGCCCTCAGCCCCTTCTCGCCGCTTCCTGGCCCCGGATGTGGCGCCCCCCTGCGCCCGCGCCCGCGCCCGCGCCCGGCACCCGCCCGGGCGACCATGCGGCTCGGCCCGCGGATGGGGGCGCGCCACACTGTCGCCGTTGCTGCTGCCGCCGTCGCCGGTTGTCGCCGCCGCCCTCCTCCAGGGGGCATGTCGGCAAGGCCACGCACCCCGGACAAGCGCCCCTACTTCGGGGGCGCCGGACTGCCGGTGGCTCCTGTCCGCCGCCGGCTCAGCCCGGCACGCCCTTCGGCCAGGCTGGCGCGCCGGGCCCGGTCTTCACCGGTGTTGCCGCCTCCACACGCAGGGGAATGGCCCGGCCGGTGTGCCGCGCCGGGCCGGCCCTCTCAGGCGGGCGTCGAACTGCCCCGCCTACTGCGTCGTTGATTGGTCGGTGCCGGAATAATGGCCCTCCCCGCCGACCCTCTTGGACATACCCGGGCGACCGCCTCGCCGCTAGGGTTACCGTGCACCGAACACGCTGCCGTGCGTGCACACGGGCGCCCAGCCCAGTGTGGCATTAATCCGCCAAGGCGGACCACGGGTTAACCCGATTAAGGAACATCACACCGCCACCACGAGATCCACACAGCACGCCGCCACACCGCCGCCCATTTCCCCCGCCCATCCAATACGTTGCCCCCACGTCAAGAGGGACACTTTGCCACCCCCATCCGCCTCCTCGTCAAGTCCCCCCCCCC